CTAACTTATATTACCCACACACAGTTGTCTTTTAAAAGTAAGCTGATGTAGTGGCCTAGAGTAAAATCAGGTTCTCTCTCTTTATATCAACACATTTTTATTTATAAAAAATAACGCAGGTGAAATTGACGTACATTTTTGGATAATGCTCGATAAGGTGAATCTGAGTATTCTTGGGAGGTGGTACAAGGAGAATGTATATATATATAGTGCAGTTGGGGGTCCTTGCTGAAGAGTGGTGGTGAAGCATTCGCACTCCTTAGCGCCGCTTGTAATCAGTTCATTGCCGTTAGAAAGCTCCATCGAAGATATTTTTTTCCTCGATTTCTCGCTGAATTATGTACTCTTGTTACTCCCAAAAGTGACTAACGCCGCTAATAATGTTAAGGTTAGATTAGATGCGTCAGGAAACAGGACAGATGCTTCCTGACACGAGTCATACATTTGTTAAACACTGTTGGAATATGTGTCAACTTGTCGCATACTGCTAGTGTATCCCAAGATCTATATTCACTAAGCTCTACTGAAAAGCTCTTCTGTATAATGATTTTTTACTAAATCTAATTGAAAAAATTAATGTAGAATTAATAGTACTTGGGAAGGCCTTCAAAGTACCAGCTATTCAATTTTTGATGTACTTTTTTCAAATGCTTTTAAAAAAAATCATTACATAAAGAAGCTTTATAAGAAAGCTTTATAAGAAGCTTTATAAGAAAGCTTTATAAGCGTCATCCATACAATTTCGCCTTTCCGTTTTCCTTACAAAATTTCATTACCAGACAATATTTACCTAGTTAGGTGCAATTATAATTTCTGGCAAGACCTCACCAGGGAGAGCATGTCAGCAACACCTCACCAGGGAGAGCATGTCAGCAAGACCTCGCCAGGGAGAGCATGTCAGCAAGACCTCGCCAGGGTGAGCATGTCAGCAAGAACCTCACCAGGGAGAGCATGTCAGCAACACCTCACCAGGGAGAGCATGTCAGCAACACCTCACCAGGGAGAGCAAGTCAGCAAGACCTCACCAGGGAGAGCATGTCAGCAACACCTCACCAGGGAGAGCATGTCAGCAAGACCTCGCCAGGGAGAGCATGTCAGCAAGACCTCGCCAGGGTGAGCATGTCAGCAAGACCTCGCCAGGGTGAGCATGTCAGCAAGACCTCGCCAGGGTGAGCATGTCAGCAAGACCTCGCCAGGGAGAGCATGTCAGCAAGACCTCGCCAGGGAGAGTATGTCAGCAAGACCTCGCCAGGGAGAGCATGTCAGCAAGACCTCGCCAGGGAGAGCATGTCAGCAAAACCTCGCCAGGGAGAGCATGTCAGCAAGACCTCGCCAGGGAGAGCATGTCAGCAAGACCTCGCCAGGGTGAGCATGTCAGCAAGACCTCGCCAGGGTGAGCATGTCAGCAAGACCTCGCCAGGGTGAGCATGTCAGCAAGACCTCGCCAGGGTGAGCATGTCAGCAAGACCTCGCCAGGGTGAGCATGTCAGCAAGACCTCGCCAGGGTGAGCATGTCAGCAAGACCTCGCCAGGGTGAGCATGTCAGCAAGACCTCGCCAGGGTCAGCATGTCAGCAAGACCTCGCCAGGGTCAGCATGTCAGCAAGACCTCGCCAGGGTCAGCATGTCAGCAAGACCTCGCCAGGGTCAGCATGTCAGCAAGACCTCGCCAGGGAGAGCATGTCAGCAAGACCTCGCCAGGGAGAGCATGTCAGCAAGACCTCGCCAGGGAGAGCAGACCTCGCCAGGGAGAGCATGTCAGCAAGACCTCGCCAGGGAGAGCAGACCTCGCCAGGGAGAGCATGTCCGCAAGAGCTCGCCAGGGAGAGCATGTCCGCAAGACCTCGCCAGGGAGAGCATGTCCGCAAGACCTCGCCAGGGAGAGCATGTCAGCAAGACCTCGCCAGGGAGAGCATGTCAGCAAGACCTCGCCAGGGAGAGCATGTCAGCAAGACCTCGCCAGGGAGAGCATGTCAGCAAGACCTCGCCAGGGAGAGCATGTCAGCCACACCCACACAGGTGGCGCGCGAGTAGCGCTGTAACGTAGTTATTTAAGCTAATAACACAGCCTGAGGCTTTTATCTTTAGTCTGCTACGAGACTCCTTTCCCTCAGGTGCGGTGCTTGGATACTGAAGGTTTCTTGATCCAAGGAGCAGGAGCTGTCTTCCTCCCTTCAAATTACCTTACATTCCTCAGGCGTTCAACTTCAAAACGCTTAAATATAATTTAAACGTACCAAAAAAAAATAAAATGCCTAACAGGTTGGGTAAATATGGCCAGCCAAATCCCCTCAAGGGGTGTCCCTGCCGTGAGGAGCTCTTGATCCAATGAATCCGAGCTACCCTCCCCTTCCTCTGGTCAAACATGATTGACGTTAGGGGCTACATAACCCCAAAGGATTTAGCTCTCCCCCGTGAATATAATAACCGGAATAGTGCTGATTGCGGCATGAATTTTTAACACAGTTATATAATATCACTGAATATTTGAAGCAAATCAGAGGAGATATTCACAAGCTATAAAAACTTGTATATTAATTTCTTCGTGTTGTGTCTGGGCGCCTCTGCAAAGACAGTCATTATGTACGAGTTAGGTGAAAGTATCGAATGATGATGAAAGTATTTTCTTTTTGGGGATTTTTTTCTTTCTTTTTGGGTCACCCTGCCTCGGTGGGAGACGGCCGACTTGTTGAATATATATATATATATATATATATATATATATATAATATATATATATATATATATATATTATATGCGCGCGCGCGCGCAGAAAAAACACTGAAAAAATAGTGAAATTCCAAGCGCTTTCGTGACTTCTCACATTATCAAGGAACTATAAAAATAAAAGGTTAACAGGAAGGCATATAGCTCATTTTAAAAAGGTTAACAGGAAGGCATATAGCTCATTTTATAATTTTTACTGTTGAGTTCGAATAAGATAACTCCTTACCTTTCCTAGATGTTTTAATTATTAACGGTAACAACGATTTAAAAAAAAATAAAATTTACAGAAAACCAACAAATAACTGTTCCTATGTACACTATTATTCTTCACTTCAGAATAAAGTTAAACACACACACACACACACACACACACACACACACACACACACACACACACACACACACACACACGTGAACAATAAGCCGATAGAAGCTCCCTGGTGGTGACGCAAATTTCACAACACTGCCTCAGGGGAACAGTTGCAGGTTTCTACTTCAAAGAACCACCACGCTGGGTATCCTATTAGAACGTTTGTAAGGTAAAATTTGTTGCTTTGGGCCTTAATATGAGAGAGAGAGAGAGAGAGAGAGAGAGACTATATTAATCATCCTAATCAACTCGTCCATCTCACGAACATCCTAATCAATGTAGCCATAACCATGTCCGCGCGCGAACACAAACCTCCCAAGAAATTCCCACCACAAGTGAAACCGCTGCCATTACCGCGACAATCACAATTACCATCCCACCCAACACCACACCCAGCACCGACCTTGACCACGATTAACACCACAACCAGCATTAAGGCGACCTTGACCACGACTAACACCACAACCAGCAGTAAGGAGGCCCTCACGAACGCAACACAAAACCATAAGTCGACCCTGGCTACAACTAACACCACAGTCAAGCACAAGTCGACCCCTAACACCACTGCACTCAGGCATAAGTTAAACCTGTCCAACACAAATTTAGATCACAACAATATGATCATTCTTAAACCTGGCTTCTATTACAACAAATACATAGCCATAACCAATGCAACAAAAAAAAAATTACACCATACAACTTTTACCACAACTATCACATCTGTCATCTTATCCATCACAGCAGTAACAACTGCTCTTTCAACCACATCTAATACCACAGTGAACAAATTCAAGGCACACTGAAAAAACTAACACCAGTGTCGTATGGTTGACGCCCAAAAGCTGTGACCTCACATGACCCTTGTAAACATTATGCAACTCATCCTCAAAACACACAATATGCGTGGACGCAAATGGTATGAAATCCCGACACGATGGAAAAAGAAGTGTGGAAAAATTAGCGTTCTTTCGTCCTAGGCATGGGAAATAATTACAACTGAGGGATGGGGTGTGCTAGAGGGTAAATGTCTGTGTTACCACGTCTCTAACTTAAACCTTGATTGTAAGGCTAATTACCTGTAATCTATTAGTAAGATATCACCTAACTTAAGACTATATTATAGACAGTTAAGTTAGCCTTGAAATATTAACGTAAGTAGCACAAAGTACTTGTGGTTTCGAACTAAGATCTAGAGAAAACTAAATCTTTGCAAATAATAGAAAACTCTCGGAATTGAAATTTACTCATTACGAACCACGTTTTGGGAAAAAATATTCATCTGGACAGAACAGCGTCTCGCACGAGGCAGAAGAATAAGTTACAGATCAAGAAGTACGTCACTTCGGTTGTGAAGGGTGGAATGTGACCAGTGTTTACTTCATCATTTTCCATCCTGTGTTCTTGGTGTATTTTAATAGGAATTAAAAGCGGATGGAGTGCAAAACAAATTCTAACAGAGCTGCAAATTGATTTTTCAACACGAAAATTACCCGAAGTACAAAGCTTCAAATGGTTAATTAACCTTTAAACGGTCCAAACAGATCGACGTTCAAATTCGTAGTGCTACAAAAGTAGATCTACCTTTTTTTTTACATATTTTCAAACATAATAAAAAAAATGTAGATAAAATTTTTTTTTACACGTTTTCACATGTAAAACAAAAAAAAGATCTACATTTTTTTTACATACTTTCAGATGTTGAAAAAACGTATATATACGTTTGGACCATTTAAGGGTTAAGAACAGCTCGTACAGTTAATCATGTCTCACAATTAGCGAACGATGGACTCACTTGACCCTTCTATGGGAGGGGTACCTTGATGCTGGCGAAAGACTCTTGATCCAGTATGGCCCTTGCGGGCTTAGTGCTTCTCAATGAATATAAAATATAATAATGTACTCACTTGAGTTTGCTCCTGTTGGGGTCCCTGGAGCCAATGTAAACCGTGTAGCCAGAGTTGACGAACCTCCGGGAGATAGCTCGCCCGTAGTCTCCCGACCCCAGGACCGCCACCGTCTGTACCAACACACACACACACTTTAAGTGTTTGACAGTTGAATTTACAGGTTTAGAACGGTTATGCTACCTCAGCTTATCCCCGAGAATGTCACCTACAACACTCAACTAACACCCTGATAATGAAACATGACAAAAAGGCAATTACAGAGAGGAACTTTATTGAGGGAGTTTCGTCTGTGGAACAGGCTTCTTCAGTGATTGAAGAACGCTGTTCCACAGACGAAACTCAACTCCCGCAATCAAGTTCCTCTCAGCAAGTCATTTCTGTAAGGAGACACGTCCCACCACCGCCCACCGAAAATCCGACTGCGAGTCACAGGTACTACCACTGAGTAACAAGCTACCTGCACACCTCTGGTAGTTACCACACATCTTTCCACCTCAGGTTTTTCTTTCTCCCAGGAAAAGTGTGAAATGCTCAGGAAATTTTATTAACATAACCACCTAACCTTGCTAAGATTTACGCAATCATTTACGTAATGAATTTGCAAACTACATTTCACAGTGTTCCGTGGGAAAAGACAATTAAAATCTTCATATGAACTGTTAACAGTTCCGATGATAATCGCTACCGCGACCCGGTTACAAACCAGGCCACTTGAACTGCAAATAAAATATTAAATAAGCTCTACTAAACACAAGGAAAAGTAAAGTGTACACTAAATGTAAGAACTTTGTAAAATATGTCTTGCGTATTCGTGAAAAAAAAAACCACAGTCCTACCAGAGTGCAAAACGTTTAATGGGTTTTCATTTTACGCTCATATCGCAGAACACCAATACCTCTCTAGTGCACATGCTGTTAAATCACGAGAACAAATAACTATAAAGCAGTGAGCACAGTGCTTTCATATGCTCTATGGTCAACATCACTCACCAGAAGAATGACTTCCTCCTGATGATGCGCCACTGATCACACAAGAGAACTCGACTCAGTCTACAATTCACTGGTGATCCCTAAATGCTAGTTTATATTCCTTCCAATAACATCGCTTTAATTTTATATATTTAGTAATATTAATTAAAACATATATGCTTAATTATAATTAGCTAATATAAATTTTATCAACACTTAAATTCAGTCGATATCCGGAAAGTGTTAATGTAAGATCATTATGGTTTATTAAACCGAACGAGTAAAAACAAAATTGTCTTCAATAAGTTAACAACTGGCCTTTGATCACGTCTTCCACAGACTATGATTATACTAATGGGGAAGCGCTAAGCCCGTATTATTTTATAAATGGTATGGTATACAGACCAATGCAAGATTAGTCCCTCAGCCTGGGGGCTAAGGGACTGACTAGGTTAAGGAAGTGGCCACCTATCAAGGATGAGGGACTGATCTCAAAATCAGCTCTCCTCTTCTACTGTCGTCAGTGTTATAATCGCCTGGATTCGACTGAAGTAGCCTGCTACACAGGCGAAACGTTTCAACAAGAATTACCTAAGTGTTGCGCATACGTCTTACTCATTAAAAACAAAACAATTTAGGACCATCTTAAATATTTTACATTAGCAGCCAGGAAGACGTAAAAGATATCGGTCGAAATGCATTTTGTCTCGAGTTATCGAGGGTAAATAGAGGACAAAAACTCACCTTATCTGGGTCTTTGATTGTATTGCGTTTTGCATCATAGGAAACGCCATTGGCAGCACCATTGACTGTACCGTTGCCCACACCGTTACCGACGCTGTTGACTATAATCAGTTCGGTACCGTCTATGCCAAATGACGGGTTATCCATCCTGTAACAGGGTGAGCAGAAGTGCTGGGTTAGTGTACATAATGCTGTATGTTCTAAAATCGAACAAAATTACAATGACCACGTCTTATTTGCGGGCTGCAAATTAGGGAATTTTTTATTAAAGACCACAAATCCTTAAACGAGACTAAAATTTATATACCGTAGACAAGTTTGCCAAATAATGAATATACATCTTGAACTAAAAAGGATGAGAAATCAATATATTAGTGCCATCGGTCCAGTACCTTATTCTCATTTACCAAGTTAAATATTTCTACAAGGTACCCAACGCCAATTTCGTAACGGTTCCTACCAACTTACAAATACAATTCGATATCTTTTTATAAGCTTGTGAAACCCAACTAGCCACAAACAAACGTATTAAAAAAGGCAATGATACGTCTGGCAGCGGGGTGGCAAAAATATGGTTAGGAAACGTTCAAATTTGCTCAATTATCAGTGTTGGTGCGAGAAAAAATCTGGAGGCTAATTACTACATATATTAACGACTGCTGTATACTAAGAAATAATTATAGAATTACTGAACTCTAATATCTAAAAAAAGGAATCCTAACGACGTTTGGTAAAGACACTGTGCCTTTTCTAACTCATATTTGTGCTACCCTACCCCATATAACTTTAAAAAATGACCTCTCATAATATCCTCTTCAATACCTTTGTTCCACTCATCCAGGTTAGGTAAGGTTCGTCAGGAAACAGAACAAGTGTTTCCTGGCGCGGGTCTTAGTCAGGTGACAGGCCGTTGGAGCTTTCGGTCATCTGACCGAAGCCTTCCACTGGCTTACCGGTCCACCCCTTCAAAAACTTCCACTCATCCACAATAATCAAACCACTTCTTTCTTATATACATCCAATAACAACAAGACACTCTGTCATATCCCATCCAGCCCTGTGCAGTGTTTATTCTTAAATAATCCTCACACAGAGCTTACATTATTAGTGATACTAAAGTATTCCGGCACCATATACTGCACTGCACGTCTTATTCACCCTTGTTGAAGACGCCTCTGACACCACGAAATTCAGCAGCCCATCATTGGGGTGTTGCACATGATACATTATCCACACACACTTTCAACACAGGTTAGTCTGTCTTGCTTTCGTACGAGTTCACACTTAAATTTTTATAAACTGCCGTTTTAAATTTGTTTGTTTAAAGCAGATTATTATGTCAAGCAAACAGTGGTAAATAAAAAAAAAATATTGAACGTAGAATAAAAAAGGGAACAAAAAAAGAAGTCAATGCCATAAGTGGAACAATTTAGAAACCCAATTTGAAGATTAAATCAGACGTTTCGGTCAGTCCTAGACTACTGCTATAACAGGCAATTTTAAAATGATCCAGACTGATCCGAAACGCTGTTACCTCTCCATTGATGATGTGATGTATCTGCATCAGGTTTACCCTCGCTGTTAACAGATAAACGCAGGAAACTAGATTAAAACTGCGGCTTAAGCCAACGGGCAGAGAGTAGCTGTATCTTGCGTAATGTTTTACAAGAGTGCTTGAGGGTGGACGAAGAACCGGTGCTGGAGGCGTCAGATGTTGCTACGACCCGGGAGGTGTTCACATCACTTCCCGTCCCTCCCCACCATCACCACTTCCCCCCACCATCACCACTTCCCCCCACCATCACCACTTCCCCCCACCATCACCACTTCCCCCCACCATCACCACTTCCCCCCACCATCACCACTTCCCCCCACCATCACCACTTCCTCCCACCATCACCACTTCCTCCCACCATCACCACTTCCTCCCACCATCACCACTTCCTCCCACCATCACCACTTCCTCTCCCACAGCTTTCCCTTTATCACCAACACGACTCCTCCCCATGACCCATCCTTGCCACCTTCTGGAAACCAGTCTCAATCTCAACATACCTGTTAATGGTTTAAATGATCATTGCCCCCGTGTTCCGGCCCTCAGGCCAGGCATTCTGAACTATAAATGTTACATTAATGAGAACTATAATATTAAGAAACATTGCAAGAAAACATTAGTGTATACCCCAATGAAAACAACCATGAATGGTTAAAAATATATATTAAAAGGATGAAGGAACATTGCAAGAAGCCTGTCGACCCGTGCTAGTCAGGTCAAACTCACACCCAGCCACATCTACTCACCTGTCTAACCAATTTTTAATTTAAAACTACCCTTAAGTTCTCGCCCCGGTGATTTACCTGACAACCTCTCCAGGTAACCTCCAGGTAACCTACATGTTCACGAGGCTAAAAAAAAGCCTGTCAGAATGCAAAACATTCAACAGGCTTCCGTCATGCATTGATATGCTGATAGTAATACATAAGAACATAAGAAAGGAGGAACACTGCAGGAGGCCTGCTGGCCCATACTAGGCAGGTCCTTTACAATTCATCCCACTAACAAAACATTTACCCAACCCAATTTTCAATGCTACCCAAGAAATAAGCTCTGATGTGAAAGTCCCACTCAAATCCAACCCTTCCCGCCATGTACTTATCCAACCTAGATTTGAAACTACCCAAAGTCCTAGCCTCAAAAACCCAACTAGGTACTGTTTTTCCCCTCATCAACTACCCTATTTCCAAACCAATACTTTCCTATGTCCTTTCTAAATCTAAACTTATCTAATTTAAATCCATTACTGCGGGTTCTCTCTTGAGAGACATCCTCAAGACCTTTTTAATATCCCCTTTTTTAATACCTATCTTCCACTTATACACTTCGATCAGGTCTCCCCTCATTCTTCGTCTAACAAGTGAATGTAACTTAAAAGTCTTCAATCTTTCTTCATAAGGGAAAATTTCTGATGCTATGTATTAATTTAGTCATCCTACGCGAATGTTTTCTAACGAATTTATGTCCATTTTGTAATACGGAGACCAAAACTGAGCTGCATACAAGGTGGGCCTTACTAATGATGTATAAAGCTGCAGTATGACCTCTGGGCTTCTGTTGCTTACACTTTTTGATATAAATCCCAGTAATCTATTTTCCTTATAACGTACGCTTAAGCATTGCTGTCTTGGTTTAAGGTTGCTGCTCACCATAACCCCCAAGTCCCTTTTCGCAATCTGTATGGCTAAGTTCTACATCATTTAATTTTTAAGTACTAGGTTATGGGCACTCCCAAGCTCAGAACCTTGCACTTATCTACATTGAACTGCATCTGCCACTTTTCTGACCAAGAATAGAGTTTGTTTAAATCCTCCTGAAGTTTCCCTAACATCTACGTTGAATCAATTATCCTACCTATCTTTGTGTCATCGGCGAATTTGCTCATATCACTAGTAATTCCCTCATCAAGATCATTGATATATATTATAAACAACAATGGGCCCAAGACTGATCCCTGTGGAACGCCACTTGTTACAGATCCCCACTCGGATTTAACCCCATTTATGGCCACTCTCTGCTTCCTGTCAGTGAGCCATGACTCGATCCACGAGAGCACTTTTTCCCCCAATGCCATGAGCTGCCACTTTCTTTAACAGTCTATGGTGCGGAACTCTATCAAAAGCCTTACTAAAATCTAAGTAAATAATAATCAAATTCTTTATTGTGGTCAACAGCCTCAAAAGCTTTACTGAAGAAAGTTAATAAATTAGTTTAGACAAAAGACCGGCCTCTTGTGAATCCATGCTGATATCATTAATCAAGCTATGCTTATCGAGATGGCTTCTTATAATCTCAGCTATAATTGACTCTAGTAATTTGCCTACAATTGAGGTCAGGCTTATTGGGCGGTAATTTGACGGTAACGACTTGTCCCCTGTTTTAAAAATAGGAGTTACATTAAGCCATCTTCCACATATCAGACACTACACCTGTTTGAAGAGATAAATTAAAAAATATTAGTTAATGGTTCACAGAGTTCCATTTTGCATTCCTTAAGAACCCTTGAAAAAACCTCATCAGGACCCGGCGACTTATTTTGCTTCAGTCTGTCTATCTGCCTCACAACCATCTCACTAGTGACTGTGATGTTACATAAATTTATCTTTTCTCTAGCCCACTGTAAAAATTAATTACTGGAATATTGTTAGTGTCTTCCTGTGTAAAAACTGAGAGAAAATAATTATTTAAAATCAAGCACATTTCATTCTCATTGTCAGTAAGGTGCCCATAGTTATTTTTAAGGGGACCTATCTTATCTCTAACTTTTGTTCTATAGACCTGGAAAAAACTTTTTGGGTTAGTTTTAGAATCCCTAGCAACTTTAATTTCATAGTCCCTTTTAGCTTTTCTTATCCCCTTTTTAATGTCCCTCTTAATGTCAATATACTGATTCATAAGATGACCCTCACCTCTTTTGATACGCCTATAAATTCCTTTCTTATGCCCTAGTAGATATTTGAGCCTGGATGACTGTCTTCTACCAGCCTACCACAACCTAGGTTTCACATTAATCTGACAAGACTACCTAGTACCGCCCTTGGATGGCTACTGTCAACCTATTGCCTGGTGAGTCAGTGCCTGTCATACTCGCATGACAAAACTAAGTACTGTACGTGTCCCAGACAGCTGCGGTGTAAAGAAACGTAGCATGTATTTTATAGTGTATAATATATTGTTTTGTACACAAACGCTAAACCTGTTTTATGATGCTTACTAAATGTGAAGATTACATGAGAAATGGACGAATAATTTCATAGAAGCTTTAACGACATACTGCCCACACACGAGCTTAATCAAAGTAACATTATCTGCAACTTGAACAATGTCCCTCATGGGCGAAATGTCGTAGCTTCTGCGTGACTACATCTGTCTGCTTATTGTGATATTTTATACCATTTCCTCACCAGTAACGTAAAGTTTAGTACATTGAAGCCTAGGCTAGGTTGTATTTAAGTTTCACTATATTCAAAATTATTTACCGGTACAAGTATATAACAATGACTGCGAGCATTAGTTAACAAATATGTATTCACATATATATAAACACGGTATTATATATACGGTGTGTTAGTTAAGACATCACTTGCTAGATG